CTTCTCTTCTTTTCACAGCTATTTGTAAGGCCTCCTCAGACAGCCATTTTGCTTTTTTGCATTTCTTTTTCTTGGGGATGGTCTTGCTCCCTGTCTCCTGTACAATGTCACGAACCTCTGTCCATAGTTCATCAGGCACTCTGTCTATCAGATCTAGTCCCTTAAATCTATTTCTCATTTCCACTGTATAGTCATAAGGGATTTGATTTAGGTCATACCTGAATGGTCTAGTGGTTTTCTCCACTTTATTCAATTTAAGTCTGAATTTGGCAATAAGTAGCTTATGATCTGAGCCACAGTCTGCTCCCGGTCTTGTTTTTGCTGACTGTATAGTGCTTCTCCATCTTTGGCTGCAAAGGATATAATCAATCTGATTTTGGTGTTGACCATCTGGTGATATCCATGTGTAGAGTCTTCTCTTGTGTTGTTGGAAGAGTGTGTTTGCTATGACCAGTGCGTTCTCTTGGCAGAACTCTGTTATCCTTTGCCCTGCTTCATTCTGTACTCCAAGGCCAAATTTGCCTGTTACTCCAGGTGTTTCTTGGCTTAGAAACAAAAAACCCTAACTCCCAGAATAGGTTTCTTCCTACATACCATTCTCCCTTCTTTACTCATCTACAGTGTTCATCACTAATAATCACAAACATGTATTGAGCATAGGATAGGGCTTCCCTGGTAGCTCAGATGGTAAAGAGTCTGCCTGCAATGTGGGAGCCCTGGGTTCGATCCCTGGGTCAGGAAGATCCCCTGGAGAAAGAAATGGGAACTCACTCCAGTATTCTTGCCTGGAAAATCCCACGGACAGAGGAGCCTGGCAAGCTACAGTCTATGGGGTCACAAAAAGCGACTCCCCCACTGAGCGACTTACACACACAAGGTACAGGGGGAAAGCATAGAGAGGAAGGAAATATAAGAAATAGCTCTGACTTATGATTCTGATGAGGAAGGCTTTTCTAAGGAACATCACCAAGGCAATCCTGGCCTCACAAAAGAGGTAAAGGGAAGGTAAATCTCCAAGCTTACCCAGGGTCTATGCTAATCCTGGTGGGATTGTCTAGGCTATTTTCCATCAGGCACTATACCTGCAATTTCTACCAGCTGCCACCAGGTGGGAGCAGTAGCGCCTTACCTCAGAACCCATTGATTAAAAACTAGTCAAATTAAAAACCTCATCAGGTGGTGGCAAGCTCAGACATCCTATAATGTGGGTCAGAGATTGGACCTCAAAGCAGGAACAGGAACAGCCTGTAAAATCTGGCTGTCAAAGCAAATGACTAGAAGAGGCCCTTTACATTCCAGAAGATGCTTTGCATACAGCACAGATATGCCCTAGACTCCCAAGAGGTTCCAACTGCCTAAAATCACCACTCCACTATCTGGGTAGGAAACCACGCTTCCTTCACCTAAAACCACCCCTCCACCAAGGGAGAATTCCTTATAAAGTCCAGCTGACAGTCCCTCTGGCAGATCAGGTGACCAAGGCCTGTTATTCTTTGGCACAGGCAGGGCTGAGATGGGAGGGTGACAGGACCACAGGCGTATGAGGCCCAAGATGGGGTAGGAGGGCCCTGGAATTGAAGGAAGAACAAACCTGAAATGATGAGAGTCTAGAGTGTGTCCCCAAAAGTGATCCTACAAGGTTGCCCAACTTCGCTGACAGCTCCTTTCAGCACCAACCCAACACTGAACCTCTTTGACCAAAAAGCAGCAAGAATTTATTGAGCATGTAACAGGAGCCGACAGAGAAAGGGGTTGGGCCCGGGGTTGGGGGGTTGTAGGTGGAATAAAGCAAACTGCACTTTTCTCTTTGGTTTTAAATTGTTTTAAAGAAAAATAGAGAATTGTCTGAGTTACACATGAGTGATGGAGAGAGATATGGGCCCACTCTTCATTAAGTGTGAAGCCCCGACCGCCCTAGGATGTGAGGGGCCCCTGACTAAATA